CGTGGCACTTGTGTTCAACTCGGCAATTTTCGCGTACCTCAAGAGAACATTGTTGGCAACGTAATACGAATTTTTATTACCATGTCCAACCGAAGAAATGTGACTACGCCAATTGGAAAAATTTTTATTTCTTTCGTGGACTGTTTTTCGTCATTATATTAATTTATTCTACTCAATAATCAATAAATAATAACACTAGTAGTTTTCTCATTTTATTACTACGGTTTGAGTATCTTTTGGTTGATTTATCCCTTACTACTTTTCTACCCTGGTGGAAGAAAAAAAAAATTCCTCGGGGGTTACCCAAAGCAAATTCAGCCTCACTTTTCTGTCTCTGGATATGTCGTATTTTCTAAAAATGTTTATCTGAAAAGTTTGTCGAGCTTTTTTTCCGTCAAATTCACCGTTAGCCTATCAGAGTGAAACCATTTCTTCAGACGTTTCAGTAGTAACCTGTAGTCCCCGAGGGAATTTTATTCTTCCCGTCCTGTATTCATAAAAATGGACATTTTTTTTTAAGACTTTTGAAAGATCGGTTGTCGAACCCAACGATTTGCTATCAAGTAATCTGATGAAATTATGTACCCGTACAATTTACAATATAATATCGTTTTTGCAAATAAAAAAAATTTTCAAACTTTTCAAGTGAAATTTACATTGCTTCTAGTTTGCTCTAATATCGTTCGGTATTCTCAATGTTGTCCAAATTTATCTGATGAAAATCTATCACTAGAACTTATGAATATTCAATTCAGAATAATTTGTAAAATTTCATCGTATTTATTTTACGGGTGTTTTAAGGAAAACAAATGTTTATAACCGTACAAGAACTAAAATGGCCACTTTTACTTGAAAATATTTCAAGGCGAAAGGAAAAATCTAACAACATTAAATGAACGTGTGCGCTGCCACTACGATGCTGTACAGACACGAGCAAAAAATAGATAGAGAAAAATAGATAGAGAAAAATAGATAAGAAAAAAAAAATTCTTAACAATATTTATTTATCATATCTTGATGCTCGAAAAAAATTTAATAATTTAATTTGAAAAAATCAAAATATTGCCAACTCAATTTCTTGAGATTCTTTTGGATATAAACTTTTTCTGACTTTTATGAGATCGCCGTGACATCTGAAAAATCATTGTAAACATTCATTGTTTAATTGATGTATTGATGAAAGTAGAACAGAGTTTTATTTTTTCAATTAATTAAAGAACAAAAAAGAAAAGCAAGAGAAAAACTACAACAAAGGATAGTAAAAAAAAAAAATTGATGAAAGGTGAACTCTGCGTGAGAGTTGTCTTGAAATATCGACAGCATTGCATTGTTGAACGAGCGTTGCGCATATTATTCTTGAAAGCCTGCGAGTCATTAAAGCGAATGTTTCGGAATAACGAAATAGCCTCGAACCCTCGTACAAAACGGACGAGCCGTAACACCAATGCCACAAGCGAACCATAAATTTTCAACGAGACACAACACATGAAAGAGTAAAAAAAAATGGAAAATAAAAGAAAAATAACTAGTAGAGTAAACAAAGAACACAATTGAGGACATATTTGCATTTTGGGTACCTGTCATTTACACACTTCGATTGCCAAATTTTATCTTAAAAAATAGTCGCTTGTGAAAATGACCAATGGGAATGGCTTTTGTTTGCTTTTTTATCTTCAATGTTTTGCAGAAAAAAAAAATGCTCCAATTTACAAAGTCAATTTGAAGCATCCTGACGACATTACTAATCTTTTTTACTTTTGTATCTAAACTGTCCTGATTAAAGGATATCAAAATCTATTTTAAGTAGCCTCGAAATTAAAAAATTATGAATTTAAAAAATACTTTAAACATTGTAAATAGATTTCTAGCAGAAAGTTTTTCAAATAATATAAGTAAATAGGTAAAAATATTGATTCCTAATTAACGTAATGAATAAAATATTTGTGAAGAAATAAATATTCATTTTATTTATTGATTGACTATTAACCATCAAAAAAATAGTGTTTTGGATAAAGTAAACAATTTAAAGTTATACGACAGTGTGACATAACTTAAAAGCATTTCTTCCGTATTTCCGGTTGTTTGTCGTTTCGAAAACTAAAGTTCCACGCCACTATAGATAATTTTTGGCGCCACATTGAGTGTTGGCATGAGTTACTCGTATTTTATACTAGTCGACTTTTCTCCACCGGATATTTTTGTCAACAAGATGATCGTAAAACAAGATGATATGTTTCAAAAGCTGCTGCACTCGAGTGTCATAATAAAAGGTACCAACATAAAACTCAAGGGACAAAAAATGAAGCTCTTTATTGATAATCAATATATCAATATAAACATGAATTGAGCAAATAAGTAATGCATTCTCTTGAAATCTCCCCTTTCATAAAAATAAGAAACTTGGTAATACTTTTCATCTTGGGTTACACTGTGTTTATAGCATCCTCTGGGAGATCTAGATCTCTCAGACTCCAAACAGTATTTGACTCTCTGTATGTCACGTTCGTAAATCGATCGCTCTACTTACGACGTTTACTTCAAGTCAACCCACGTCTCTTGCATCTAACAAAATTACTCTAAGAATTTCAACTCATAAAAAACGAGACATAAATGTCCAAATGAAAATGGACCTTTTTATTTTGTCCAAAAAACAACGAATAAATAACAGATGATCGTATCAGCAACTCATCAATCACAATTTTATTTTCATTGTCACAACCCTTGCAGGAAGTAAGACAGGTTTATTCTTGATTCAACATTAGATCAAGTTTCACCAAATTGTCCTAGAACAGGACAAGGAATAAACCCAAAAAAATTAAATAACTGTTTTGAAGTTTACATTTAATATTTAATTATAGTAAATTTAATTTTAAATCAACAAAATACATTTTTCAATTAATTCATATAAAAAACACTAGACTTCTTTGAAGTACGTTTTTATTCGTTTCGACTACTGTATGCTATTACAAAAAATATTTTACGTGAGAATTTGTCCAGTCTAAAATGTTAATAATTAATAACGAAAACAGCTTTCACCACAGGAGAGCAAGAATTAATCATCAATCATTTTTGTAAACGATAAAATTTGATAAAGACCAAAACTTTGTTGGAAAAGTTCTCATGTACTTTTTTATCCAGCTTTTTCTATTTATTTATTATTAGACATTTAAATATCATAGAAAGAGAAAAATTCTCAAAAAAATAGATCTTGGCGAAAGGCTCAAAAGAAGCAATTTGTGATCTGAGAAAGAATAAATTATGTTATATCAGTCTGCATTCATTTAAATATCTCGTGTATGCTTATATAATATAGTATATTTGCTTTTGTGTACTAGAGAGATGATATTAAGTTACATTAATGCATATCTAATGGGATAATAATCAATTTTAGTGGATATTTTTTATTACAACTCTTCAATTACAAATGAATATTTTTTAGGCAAATGGAGACTATCTAACAGTTGACTATCCATAAAGACGTATTTTTAATAAGGAAAAGAAATAATAATAAAGAAATAGGACGAGTTTTGTAAGAGCGGATGGTATGAAAGGATAAAACAAACGAAAGCCGCACCCTTGTCAGCTGCAAAATTCGCTCAAAATCTCACGGGGTTTGGCCCTCGGACTTGGCAGTTCGCACTGGGGTTGGATTAAATTCTCCAACGCATCCCCTTCCATCCCTCCTATAGTCTCTTCAATGATTCTTTCTTTCTCTCTTCATCAAAAGCTCACTCTCTGTATATTATTTCCTGTCTACTTTAATCCACCATCTTTCTTTACACGAAAAAATAATTTCAAACATTCATAAGACTGTAAAAAAAAAAGAAAATGAAAAAAAAAAGTAGAAAGAGAAATGATTGAAAAAGCTTTACATCATATTATTGTTTCAAATGCCATTCACGAGATGAATTGCGGTCACATAAATTGCACTATACGCATTTTGTCTTGTTCTCTCTCTTGCATCCGAACAACTCTTCATGCAATGCCAATATATACACGTCTATCGGTTGGCACATCGTTGTGGTCCGAACGAGTTTTTCAAACGTGGTCTTTCACCGTCAAGCCACTTGGAAATATTGTTTCAGGGACGTCCAATCAGTTTGAAAGCTCACTTAAATACATATTTCTACTTATGTAAATTTTGTTCGATATTCAAACTATATTTGAATATATCAATATACTTTGATGTTAGTTTTAAAATAAAATGTCTAAATATTATCAGTCATAACCATCATCAACCCTTATACTAGTCATAAAAATCGGTATTATTACTCTGAAAAAAAAAGAGTAAGTAATAAACAATGTTGAGCTATAGAGCAGTATTGAATTCTCTTTTAAATCTGGAACGAATAAACATATTGAATGAAATTTACTTTTATCCAACATGTAGTGAAACGACAATTGAGTGTGGTTGTGCCATGTTTAAAGAGCCATACGAAAATGACCATTAAAATAAATGACTCTCATTGCAGCAGCATAGACTACGTTACCTCTACTCCTCTGCCTCCTCTAGTGCCTCTCCCTCAGCTTGTAAATACGCGACGAGGAAATATTCAGCTGGACGAATCAATTTACGTAAATAATAGCCCAGTACGCGTGTTTGTATTACCGCTCCAAATACATCGTCCAAACATCCAACATGTCGCTCGGACACATATATCATTGCATTACTATCCATATTAAGCAAACATGTTCGTTACTATATTAATAAATATCTTAGTTAAAATACCGGTAAGCTAAACTTAATAAATAAGTTTTATTTATTTTATTTCTGTGAAAATGAACATTTTTTCGATTGTTATTTTAACGATGCCATTCCGTTTGTGTAGATACTAAGGAATATGGAATTTAATTAAATATCTTAAAAATAAATTGAAATAATTAAAACAAAAATTTTTCTCTTAAAATAATAAAAAAATTCAAAATAATAATAAATAATATGAATGATGATGGAAAGGATTAATTCAATAACATTGGGCATTTTTAAATGTTAACTTCAGGGTCCGGTCGGCGAAGTAGGAGGTGTAAGGCTGCCTCTGCAGTCGTTGCATGGATACGGATCTGTGTTCATGTATTCTGCATCAACGAGTCCCGGTGGTGCAAGTGGACAGAGTAGCGGAGGCGGAGGTCAAGTAACCCTCCGCCTCCGCGAACCTGAAGATATACCTGAGGAGGTGCTTGCACGTCTAGAAGACACAGCCACGCTTTCGATTTCCCTTCAAGGTGATGCTGTGCTTAGACTTGGTTCAGCTGAAACTGGTGAGTCTACTCATTATTTTCACCAATAAATAATATCATCGGTATGTTGAAAGAAATAAAAGAGAGGGTCTTAGAGCGATCCCTTAAACGATTCGGAATAATCTAGAGCTTGGAAATGGTGAGATGTTTTGTCGCGAGATAAAAAGACTTTTGGGATAAACCCAAGAAGTATAAAGGAGAAGAGGGCACTCCCGAATCAAAATGTCTTGTCGATGAGAGAAGGGGAGGGAGAAAGTAAATCAGAATCAACCAAGTGAATTCTTCCGGACGATTTATCGAGTCGTAGGAAAATCTGTTTATCTAGTGGCTTGTATGACGTAATAACAATAAATAACGCATTTTCATCAGTTTATCAAGTATAACACCCATATTTTTGAAATAATTATAATTATTTAGAGATTGAGGAAAATATAAAATTAAAGATCTGTTATTTTATCTGATTAGCCAATTAAATAACTAATTTGATAAAGATTAAAGCCGTAATTGATTCCAAACTTCTTTGAAAGTATAATTTTATTGAAACATTTATTTGTCATATTTTCAATCAGATTTTTTGTTTAAATATTCTTTGATATAATTTTCAAACTAAATCGCGTAAACGAAAACAATAGAGAAAAAAAGAAGAAAAATATTTTAGTAGACGAACAAAATGTTCATTGTTCAAAGGCTATGCGTAAATTCATAAAATTGAAATCTGTCAAACACGTTCATGTATTAAATTTTATACATTCAAATTCACTCACAGGAAATTTTTGAATAACCATCAAAATTTTCCAATTATAAAAGGGATCAGAATATACTAGAATAGTAGAGCCCAACATTGTTAGTATTCAAAAAAGCCGCAACAACAGAGAGAGGAAAGATAGTAACTTGATGCAAATTATCCCTCGGTATGGCTTTTCCAAGTGAATGTGTTGAAAAAGAGAGGTAGGAGGTAAATAGGGTGGTTTTCCATTCTTTCCCCATCATTTTAACTTCCAAATGATACGGGCTTTGTTAAATTTCCGATGTAAATACATCAATATATATATATATATATATATATATATATATATATATATATATATATATATATACATATACATAGATATAAATATATGAATACGCACATTCCTTTAAATAAAACTATGAGGGTTCAAATATGCTTTGAGGCAAAAACATCTGATAACCAAAAAAAATATACGGGTTAGAACATAAATTGATTAAGTAGCTATAAAAAATTCATTAAATATTATGTAATATTCAATAACATATTCCAAATTATCTCACTCTTATCCTTTTCAAATTCTTCTCTCATTTTTTTTCATCTGAAAAAATTTTCTTTTATAAATATCAACGACGGAAAGCTTTTATTCTCATTACAAATTTTTTTTATAATCAATTCTATTTAAAAATAAATCTTTTGAAAAGTAAACCATATATTATAATCAAGCTCGAGCTTTTGATCTTTTAAGCATCATCTAGGAAAAAAAAAATTTTCTGTGAATTTAATTGAAGCTCAGTGTCATTAAAAATCCAAAATGACTTGAAAGCACAAGATAATAACAATTTTATGCTCAAATATAGAGATATCAGAGTATTTTTCAGTGAAAAAGCGTAACCACAACATGTAGATTTTTACCTAAAAGTACTTTAGACAAAAAAATAGCTAGAAATGGATATAAAAAAAAAAAACAAAGACAAACAAAATCTCACGTAAGGTAACTCACAAACATATACACGACTACATCAAAAACAGTATATTCGAAACTTATCGTGGTAAGTTTGCTCGGAGAGCAATTCTCGTTATAAGTTGGACGCTCATGGGCGTGCTTAAAGCTGAAAAAGAGAGCGGAAAAACTTAAACTGTTCAAAAAGGCAAGAAATGGAAGTAGAAAGGGCATAAAATCTTAGCATTTCTATTGTGAAGAAAACAATTGTAGTCTCTCGATTTACAGTTGAAGATTTTTTCTATAAATATTAAAAGAGTTAAACTCCTACAATATGTAATTAACTAGTATTTTTGTTACATTATAACAACATTAGATCTCAATCCAAGAAAAGGAAAGAAGTTAATGAAGAGAAAAAATTTTATCGCAAAGATATTTAGCTCAAGGTATGAAATATATAAGAAATTAGCAATGATAAATCGATGAGAAAAATAATAGGTAAGATGATTAGAAATTTTTCCAAGTTAACAATCTTCTCAAGAGAAATCGAATACACGTACGACAGGTTGAAGCATTCGTTCGGTTTACGATGGATCTCGGCTGTGAAATCTTCCCCATTATCCTGGCGTCACGTATTTAAGACTCAGTTAAGGGACACGTAGAGGGGTAGTACGTGCACAAGTTCCCTAGGAGCATCAGAAAAAAAGTACGAACGTGAATTGAAGTCACGAGACTTGGTATGTTATAGTAGACTACAAGTCGAGATAAAGGAAAAGAAAAGCTCGAGAAGGAAAAAATCTCAAGCTTTTCTGCGTTCTGTCTGCTTCGTTAAAGCCGATTCAATTTTGACTCGAATCCCCCCATACTAGTCTCTAGAATCAAGTATATTATATGTTTTAACCTCTTGGAAGGAACTAAAGAACAAGGAAATTACACTTTTAAGATCTATATCTGGATCTTCAAATTCAAAAATCTAATTAATCCATCACTTATGGATAATAGCACAAAAAATCATCTAATTATTAGATTTTTAAATTTTTTCACATCGTCACTCACAACTATGAATAAATTAATAATTGGCTTTAGGTTCACATGAATTTAAAAAAAATCTTACATCTAGATAGAATCACTTTATTTTCAATTTTAAATAAATATTTATAAAAAATGTTTTGTTGAAGTTGATGAACAAAAGATGCTCATTTGTTCAAAACTCGTATCCAAAAGTACAATATTGTAGCACTGGTTTCAATAAATACAGTAATTCTAAATTGAATAATTTGTGGAGTTCATAAAAGCTTTGAAATCGTTGGAGGTTAGAGGAAAACCTCTGGATATCAATGAAATTCGAATATATAGGTCGTGGTGGTGAATTAACGTTGATTATATGTGCATAGACACTTACACACCTAGAGAGATACATATAATAAAATAAAGCGAAAGTGGGAGTGTGGTAGAAAGGCTGTAGGTCGGGAAATAATTAACGAAATGCATCGTTGGCCCAAGCGTTTGCCATAAATCCTCGTGTTTTCCGAACAGTCGTCGTGGCTGGCTCAGTAGGGGTATCCACGCGGGGGTTGAATTCATAATAGTGGCTCTGGTGGTGTGTGTAAGCGATGAAATGGGCAGGGGTGTTTGGTTACACTCTCGGGGGCCACCGAGTGCAAGAGTAAGAGAGAAGAATGAATAAACGTGAGACACATGAACGCGTTTGCACAATCGCTCTCAAACCTCCATCGCGTAGAAATTATTGTGATACTCCAGGAAGGAGTGTGCGGGGTGTGCGGCTTTGGTGCTACCGGCCACAGACGAAAGTACGTAAATTATGAATGCCGTTTGACTTTATGCCAACTACATCCCAACACACCCCTTTCACCCTTTAAACCACCTCTTCGCTGATCTAAACAGAAAATAAATTCTACTTCTATCTATTATTCCTCTTCTTTTCTATTTTATTCCCTCTTTAATTCACTTCGTATATTATTGTGCATTATTTTATCACAATAACATCATCAGGATATTCAATATCGAGTTATTTATTCTTTCACTTCTATTGAATAATTGCTTTCTTTCGTTCAAGATAAATTGGCTCAACTTTCTTCTATCATAAATTTCTAAAATAATAAAGGAATGCTAAACTACTTGCCATCAGCAGTATCATAACCTTCGATATATTTAAATTAATTAACAAAAAATACTATAACATTTTTTATCATCAATTAATCCGATTCCATCAACGGCTGACCACCATCACCAGCAATGACTACTCTTACGGTTATCCATCTATTTTTCAAAGACAAAAGACATTATTGTAGACCAGATTACGAAATTCCTCTTGAAAAGATCAAAGTATTCCTTCCTTAGCCCGTTGCATCTCCATACACTTTATCGTCCAGTCCAAGAGCTTGAAAAAAAATACTCCTTTGAAGGTTGGATGATAAAGGAGTCTCGCTTGACCCAGAGCTTACGATGATAGTAAACTAAGCAAAGCACTCTTAGTACCTTCTCTTCTACCCTTTATCTTCTCTATCTTGAGTTCACTGATGTCAAGAAAATTGCCATCCCACGATTCAGGATTACTATTCTCCATACTAATATAATGATAACCTGGAAGTGAATATAAGCTTGCACATCTCACCTGTTTTGTTGTTGGGTTAATGTAACCCATGGATATATTCACTTTAGTATATATCATTATCACTTTTATTCTGAATATAGTAGGCTATCTATGTCAGAGGCATCATGTATAGAAGCCTGGAATAGAATTTACCAGTTAAATTACAAAATCTATTTAACGTGATTCTCTTTAGAGTAATAAGGTTGTAAGTAAATATTTAATTTTTAAACAAAGCAATCAATCATTTTTCGAAGAAAAAAAAAATACACAAGTATAGTAAATAAAATTAAACTGTATTTTAAAGGTAATTAATTAAAGAATCAATATGACAAAGACAATTTATCAATCAAATAAAATAGATATTCTAACCAATTATTACTGAACAAGCAAATATAACCGTTAAATATTGGAATAGGACTTGGATCTAAATTTCGCAAGTTCATCATATACTCTAGTATCCAATATTGACTTGACACAAGATTAAGAACTAATACTTTCTAGCAAATTCAACTTCCAATAGTTGTTTCGACATTAAAATTCATTTGTAGATTATTCAAAATATTAATTAGTTTTTTTAGCTTGGAATCTTAATGATATAAAAACTGTGCCAGTGAATTTCGATAAAAGTTGATTTCGTATGTGCTGAAATGAATCCAATAGTTATAAGATGGACTATTCAGTAATCAGGTAACATAACCATTGGTACGTGACAACCACTCTTGTTCACAATCGATTGA